TAATACCAGTTTTGAAAGTCTAGGGGCGCTTGGGTGGCTCAGTCGGATAAGCATCCGACTTCAGCTCAGGTCATGATCTTGCCGTCTGTGAGTTTGAGCCCTGCGTCGGGCTCTGTGCCGACAGCCCGGAGCCTGGAACCCGCTTCGGATTCTGTGTCTCCCTCTCTCTCTGCCCCTCCCCTGCTCATGCTCTGTCTCTCTCTGTCTCAAAAATAAATAGAAACATTTAAAAAATTTTTTGAAAAAAGTCTAACTCCTTCCAAATGATGGCTGTAGAATGTTACACTGGATGGACTGAGAACTAAAAACGAAACAGCCCGACATCTGGAAGCTGGTGTAGCCCTCGAAGCTAGGCCATGTTAGTCTCCTTTGGGACATAAATGAATCACAGAATACCATCCTCGAATGAGCGTTCTCTGAGACCATGGTAAAGTGAGACGAAACAAGTCCCCTTCTTAATTTTGAGATGCACACAAAAACGAGGTCACTGTGCCATCACACAATGCCAAGCATCCCTTTTTTGCTAGATGGGTGACTGCTACTTCTTTGTCACTTGGACCTTTATTCTTGTTCCAGGCTGCCTTCCCAAAAGGTAACACCTATTGAAATACTCACTCTTAGAATTCCTCCTGCTTTCCGACGGTAGTTCATCTCCAGGAACCCTGCTTCTTTAGGCCTTCCCTAAACCACCCAAACAAAGCTCAAATCCTAGAATAGATTCTTTCTGACACCCTCTTTCCCTCGTGACGCTTCATGGTTTTCCCTGGTGGGTGTACTCCACTGCAACAAATAATAAGCCCAACTTGTCCAACTACTGGTGTGTTTCTGGATGAATTAAGCGTTTTGGCACATCCCCTGAGGAGTAGTAGGTTTGCTATTATATATGGTCCTTAGGCCTGCTTGCAAGGCTGGATTTTGGCTGGTGTCAGGGAACATGGATTTGGGAAGACTTACTCCGTCCATCACTGGTCAGAGCTGTTCACTGTGTCTCAACTGCGCAACAAGGTTTCTTTTGAACATCCGCTTTCTGTTGAAGGTTTGAATTTTGTCACGTGCTAAGTAGATGGCGCCTACATGACCAGCTCTCATTAAGAACCCTAGGTTCTCAGGGGCACCTGGGTGGCTCAGTCGGTTAGGCGTCCGACTTCGGCTCAGGTCATGATTTCACAGCTCGTGGGTTCGAGCCCCGCGTCGGGCTCTGTGCTGACAGCTCAGAGCCGGGAGCCTGCGTCAGCTTCTGTGACTTTCTCTCTGCCCCTCCTCCATTCACACGGTCTGTGTCTCTCAAAAATGAATAAACATTAAAAAAAGAAAAAAAAAAAACAAGAACCCTAGGTTCTCAGGGGTGCGTGGGTAGCTCAGTGGGTTGAGCATCCGACTTTGGCTCAGGTCATGATCTCAGTTTGTGAGTTCAAACCCCACACTGGGCTTGCTCCTGTCAGTGCAGAGTCCACTTCGGATCCTCTGTCCCCCTCTGTCCCTGTGCCTCCCCCACGCATGCTACCAAAAATGGATAAATATTTTTTTAAAAGAACCCCTTTTAATAACCCCTTTCTTTTGCAGTCCTGTTGTAGACATTTCACACATGTATTCTTTCACTGAAATATAGTCCTAAATCCAACTATATTCTGTGTCCTCTCAGCAAGTCACAGAACCTGAAGGTGGTAGAAGGGACCCTCAAGCCACTACGCAAATTGAGATAGCATGGATCGCAGTATCTAGTATTCTGTGGAGATACAGCCCAGAAAATTGATTATGAAAATGAATCTATTAGATACACTTTGTAAGTAAACCCCTCAGTCAATACACTTAAAATATCACCATGGCATCCACGGAGTGTGGAATGGCATCCAAAGCTTCTTTCTCCTTAGAGGCTCCAATGCTATAATGCTCTGTAAGATCCCTACCCATGCGCATTTTTTCTTCAAAGCCTTTTTCTTAACCTCCACAACATAACCACTTTACTATCTCCAGTATTTGCCTGCTCCCTGGCTTATGCCTCAAGATGAATCTTGTGCATCAACAACAAACATGGTTGACCATACTCATTAGTTTATCTGTGAATACAAATTGTGTCTTATTCCTTAGTTTTGATCTTATCTGCCATATGATAATGCAGAACAATCTTAGTAGGTGACCCAACTATAAGGGACTCCTAATCATCTTTCAAATTCTATTGTAATTTGCCAGTTTGATCAAATCGATGTTCACTGAGAAATAAAAACACACAGTAGAATTACAGAATGGAAAATGCCACCATATACTCCTTGCCAAAGAATATCATTTAGAGTATCCATTTCTATGTGATGTATGTCTATAAACACATAATACACAGAATTATGAACTTATTACACTATGAAGGCTATGGTCTGATTTCACAAAGCTTTTATTATGTTCTTCTCCTGCTATTACATGTCCTTGACATTAATTTAATGGCCCCATGTTATTACGGGAATATATGAAATTTAAACAAATTCTTATTGAACACTTGTTATATCCATTGTTAAAACTCTGTGACATTACTGATGTGGTATTCATCTTTTCATTGTTTGAATCTCATAGTATGTTTCCTATAGTACGATTTCCAGATCGAAGTTGCATGTTACACATTCTGAAGTATACTGCTTTTCAAAAAAATGTTTTTATTGTCACCAAGAAAAACATATGTCATTTCTGCACCCTGTAATTAATGTATTTGATGCAATCACCAAATCCCAAATTTTTCTAGTATTTATTTTCATGGGGATGAGGGGAAAATATGGGAAGCTGACAAATTAAATGTCCTTCAAATTGGCATAAATTTCTACCACAGAAGTTTGATTAAAAAAAAAAAAAATCCAGGGGCGCCTGGGTGGCGCAGTCGGTTAAGCATCCGACTTCAGCCAGGTCACGATCTCGCGGTCCGTGAGTTCGAGCCCCGCGTCAGGCTCTGGGCTGATGGCTCAGAGCCTGGAGCCTGTTTCCGATTCTGTGTCTCCCTCTCTCTGCCCCTCCCCCGTTCATGCTCTGTCTCTCTCTGTCTCAAAAATAAATAAACATTAAAAAAAAAATCCTACAATTAGAAGGCAATCATATCAAAGACTACATGGAAATGCAGAAATTTAAAACTCAATGACAAATTCAAAATTAAGAAAAATGTTTTTATCACTACTATATAAATCTGATGTTTTTAGTGTTTCTTTGAACCCTTGCCTTAACTTTGTTGAGAAAATTCAATTAAGATATGTGCAGTGGCCAGTTATTGTGAAGTTAAATTGTTTCAGTCTGCAATGTGAGAAAAATCACAAGAGTTCAACTGCTATTGCGTAAACCAATGGGATATGAGATCAAGACATGAAAAATAAGAACTCAACCTCAGAACACAGGCTGATAGCCAGAGCCAACCATAATAGGAAACTACCAAAATAATGCTGTGGAACACAGTACTCAGTGTATTTCTGCATTTCAACTATTTGTTCCTCAGAATTATTTATTAGTTTTTTGCTGGTTTCCTTTTCCAGATACAATTTGTAAAGATTGCACATTTTGCCTCTTTGGTTCATTTAAAATATTTTATCACTTTTTGCCATTTTAACAAATATGTATCTTGGTGTGGACATCCTTGGGCTGATTTTTTGGGTGGATCTCTGCCTCCTCGATCTGGTTATCTGTTTCCTTCCTCACATTAGGTAAGTTTTCAGCTATTATTTCTTCAGGTAAAATTTCTGCCCCCTTTTCTCTTCTTTTGGGGTCCCTTTAATGCAAATGTTATTATGCGATTATGCTTGATGGAGTCATTGAGTTCCCTATCCTCAATCTCCATGATTTTCTTCCTCTCATTTGTGTGGCTTACTTTCCATTACTCTGTCTTCCAGGACATTCATTCATTCCTGCTTCATCTCACCTTCTTCTTATCCCATCAAGTGCATTTTTAATTTATTGTGTTCATCTCTGCTTGGTTCTTTTTAATCTATTAAGGGTCTCAGTGATGTCCTCCACTCTTCTCAAACTAAGTGGGTATCTGTGATCATTACTTTAAATTCTCTGTCTGGAATATTACTTATATCCATTTTGCTTAGGTCTCTTGCTGTGGTTAGGTCCTGTACTTTCATTTGGGAGATATTCCCATCTCATTTTGTCTCCATGTCTATTTCTGCATATTAGGAAAGTCAGCTGTGTCTCTTGCTCTCGAAGGTAACGCCCTTATGAAGAACAAGTCCTGTAGTGCCCTGCAGTGCACGGTCTCCTGTTTCCTGGGACCTGTCGCTTCAGGGGCAGGGTCTCCTATGTGTGTTGCCTGTGCCCCAGTGCTGTGTCCTGGGCTCTTTTTATTCAGTCTGGTCACCTGCAGAGGCTCTCTTTGCCTATTGTGGGCAGTGTTTGGTCCCAGCTGGGTAGAGCCCATTTTAATGATATGTGCTGGTCTGTTTGTGAAATGAGACCTGTTGAAGCTGCCACCTCTGGAACTGATGTTCTGCAAAACACACAGGTCAGGAGACAAGGTAGGCTTGCTCTGGTCTTCACAGTGCCGGGACTGAAGCAGGTGTGATTGGGAAAGGCAGACCCACCAGAGCACAGGGGGGCAGGGGCTGGTGTAACCAAGTTAGGTAAGGAGTGTGGGCGCCGTGCTGGTTCCAGCAGGTACCCATGTGCTTATGCTGGGGGGGCCAGGGAGGGAAATGGTTCCCTCCTTTGTTCCCAAAGAGTGTCCCCATGATCCCTGCCTCTCCAGGCCACACTCAGTAAATTGCTGTCCCTGCTGTCTGCCCCTGGCATTTGCCAAACTTGATTCCTGGTTGTGTCTCCACCAGCTGTTCATCGTGCTCTCCCAGAGCCCAGCCCACAGACACTGGAAATCCAGGCTTTAAGTCCAGCTGGCTGCTAAGAACTCATGCCATTTGGCCCCTCTCGCTTTCAAAGCCAAGTGTTACAGGGATTCATCTTCCCCATGTGGGCTCCCCAGTGTGACAGTCTGTTTTTTGTCTTCTCTACACCACTGGCTCCTTCCCCTCCACAGACGGCCAGTCTGGCTCACTCCCAAACTGCATCTTTGCCCTTCCTACCTTCTCTGATATGGCCTCTTCTACACCTTTAGATGTTGACTTTGTTCTGCCAGTGTCGGGGTCAATTTCTGGGTTATTTACGCTGATGTGAGTGTTGTCTAGTTGCATCGATGAGAGGAGAGGAGCTTAGCGTCCTCCTACTCCACAATCTTCCCTAATTCTCTCTTCCTTTTGATTCATTTAACAACTGTGTACTAAGTGCATACACAGAGTGCTATTCAATGCTGATTGTATAGATTCAGCAGCAAACAAACTCCCTGCCCTCATGAAGCTTCTATTTCAGGGGACATCGATTTTAACATCCACCATTGGAATCTGATAAAGGCCTAAAGAAATTGTTATATTTAGGCCTTTTTCTTGAGTGATAGCTACAACTGCCAAGGTTCTTGTACCTTGTACACTGCACCACTTATGTGACCTTGGGATCACCAGGATGCATTCAGCTACGGCTGAAACATTCACTTTAATGAAACAAATGTTTTCCCTCCTATGAGACAGAATGAGATTTATCCTCAACGTGGATTCTGTGATGAATTTTAACATACGAACTTGAACTGAACTGCTTACTGCATATCTCACACTTGTAAGGTTTCTCCCCTGTGTGAACTCTCTGATGAGATTTTAAATGTCCAGATTGACTGAAGACCTTACCACACACATTACATTTGTACGGTTTCTCTCCAGTGTGGACTCTCTGATGAACTTTAAGATTTGAGGTCCTAGTGAAGTGCTTACCACATGTCCTACAGGTGTATGGGTTCTCTCCCAAATGGACACTCTGGTGCACATCAAGATCCAAGCTCGTCTTGTAGCCCTTCCCACATTCCTCACATTTGTATGGCTTTTCTCTGGTGTGGACTTTCTGATGAGCTTGCAGGCACGATTTCTGACCAAATCCCTTCCCACATTCTTCACATTTGAATGGTTTTTCTCCACTGTGGACTCGCTGATGTGTCAAAAGAGGTGAGACCCACCTGAAGCTCTTCCCACATTCCTTACAATTATAAGGTTTCTCCTCTGTGTGGAACCTCCGATGATAATAAAGATGTGTCCTAGAAAAGAAGCTCTTTCCACATTCTTCACATTTGTATGGTTTCTGTCCCATGTGGACCTTCTTATGGATACGAAGACGTGAACGCCAAGTGTAGGACTTCCCACACTCCTCACACTTGTATGGTTTTTCTCCCGTGTGGACCACACAATGACTATTAAGTGCTGATCTACGACGGAAGTTCTTACCACAGATATCACACTTGAATGGCTTCTCCCCGGTATGGACTCTCTGATGGTCCTGAAGATGGCAAGCATTAATGAAGGCCTTTCCACATCCCTCACACTTATAAAGTTTCTCTCCCGAGTGTAACCTGCAATGATTACTAAGTTCTGATCTACGACTGAAGCCTTTCCCACATTCCCCACATTTGAATGGCTTCCCTATGGTGTGGATTTTCTGATGAGTTTGCAGGCATGAGCTCTGACTGAATTCCTTACCGCACTCCTCACACCTATACCGTTTCTCTCCCAGGTGAACTCTCTGATGAATACGAAGCGCTGAGCTATAAAAGAAGCATTTCCCACACTCGCGACATGTGTGAGACTTCTCCCCTGAGTTTATGTGTCGAAGATCACAGTGGGAGGTATCACTAAAGATCTTTTTGCACTCATTTCCCAGGGAAGTCTTCTGGCCTGTGTGGGTTATAGACCGTGCTGCCTCAACGTGGCTGGGTAAATCCCATGGTCTGTGGAATTGAGAACTCTGTATCATGGAGTCGTGACACCAGGTTAAGTCATCTGCAATATGCTGCCAGATTTGCCAGCAGGAAAGTTCTTCATGTGGTTCCACTTTAGGAATAGTCTCCATCTTGTGTTGGATTTTGTCTCCTAAAAGACAGAGAATGCAGAGATGTGGGCAAATGAAGGCTTTGTTCGGTGTCCTCAAGATTTAACAGTTAGGAAAGAGCATGAGAGTTTAATGAACCCAGGGAATATTCCCTACATCCTTCTAGTGTGTACCATGGTCTCTGGTTTAAATGCCTACAGAAACCAAGAGGTAATGCAGTAGGGTCCTATCCGCTAAGCACCAATGAAACAAATTTAGAATCGTGCCAAGCCTCATATGTAATGGACAAGTTAGAAATCAAAGAATTAACAAAAATGATAATGATACATATTAGTTTTGCGACTTCCACTCAATTTCATAAATCGGTGTAAATTCTTAAATAGTAAAATATGCAGTTACAAATAAGTTACATAAACAACGAGGCCTGTCCTCAACATCAAAGAGACAGTTCTAAGCCCCTGGAATGTCATGCCTGAAATGAGCGCAATAGGGACTTCAGTCACATTAGATTACTTTAACAATATGATTTAGGGATGACGCTGACCACACCAGAAAAACTAAGAACATGATGTTGGGCGGGGCTTTCAATTACCTGGTAGCGTGGACCAAGAGACTGAGAATAACCGTATGAAACCATTCAGTCTATACTGAATGGTCATGTGACAGAGCTCCAATAATTACTCTGGACACTGAGGATCACATGAGTTCCTCAATTGCCAATATCCTGTGTATAACTGTACACTTTCATTTTGGAAAGTAACACAATAACACGTCCCTGATTCTATGGAGACAAGACAATGGAAACTGCATATGGTACTTCTCTAAACTCTCTCTCCTATGCTTTTTCTCATGCCTTTCCTATAATAAACTAAGCATAACAGCTTTCAGTGAATTCTACCAGCCCTTTTAGAAAATTATTCAATCTGAAGGCAATTTTGGGAACCCCTCAAACTTTTAGTTGGTGTCAAGTACAGGAGGTCTGTGTGAACTGTCCCTCGAAACCTCACAGTTGCTTAGACTCTTTGCAATCCTATATATCAAGCACCCAGAACTGATTATATCTATATGTTCTAAGTATTCCCGCAAATTCTATACAATATGTGTAGCTCATCTTATTTTTGTGCTAATATGTGTAGTAACTTAATTAAGATACCTGAAATTAAAAAGGGACCGGAAACTGCAGTTTTACTGTGAGGTCAGAAATTTGTACCCCACAGGAATACAAGGAGGGTGGTGTTCCTAATGAAAGAACTGGAAGATGGCAAGAACCGCGAGGGGTGGAAAGGATACATAAAGGCTTATGCACCGGTTTCTTCTGAGGCTTCTGGACTGTTTCATACTAAACAGAGTGTGGAAAATCTTTGGATGTAGAATATTGGGCTTTCACATGAGTTTTTCTGACTGAAAACTATAGCCTTTTAGTTGGCTGTAAAATAAATTTAAAATCATTCAATAAGCATTTAGAAAAAAAGGGACAGAAATCATCAGAGTATCATTATTCATAGGAATGGGGTGATTGCAAGAATTCTTATAAAGTTGTACACATAAATCTACACACAAATGAAATGATTCTTTTGGATACACTGAAAGATGCATTTCCTAGTAGGGCTTGTGCTCTAAAAAGTTTGAAAACTTAGTCAGGAACTCAGCAAGTCTATAATTAAACAAACTGTTCAAATGGAAAGTCCTAAGGGCAAAAACTTGGAAAAATATTAATAGGTGTGTATGCACCTCTTGGTAGATGCTAGTTTATGGTTATATTTAATAAACTGTCCCTTTAAAATAGTTTTCTTTGGGGCATCAGGGTGACTCAGTCGGTTAAGCATCCGACTTCGGCTCAGGTCATGATCTCATGGTTCGTGGGTTCAAGCCCTGCATCAGGATCTGTGCCCTCAGCTCAGAGCCTAGAGCCTGCTTCAGCTTTTGTGTCTCCCTCTCTCTCTGCCCCTCCCCTGCTCACATTTTGTGTGTGTGTGTGTGTGTGTGTGTGTCTCAAAAATAAATAAACATTAAAATAGTTTTCTTTGGGCGGGGGATATAAGAAGTCTCTCCAAGGATGTGACAATTTTGAGTGGGCTGTTTCCTGATACTTTCCAGGTTATAATGTTCATCAATTGCAGATGAAACAATAGGCTTCATGATAAATGTATGGAAATCATGTGAAATGATTATTCTTTAATGGCTAAATTTGTAGAAAATAAAGGTGCAGAAATAGATACCTTAATTTTTGACCAAAATGATCAGGTATAGACAACATTCAGCTGTGTGACTGGTGTTACTTTCACCTCCTCCCCTTCTGGCACATGGAGAGGAAACCTGGCAACAGTAGGGTGGATGTAGGCTTTGTAAGATGCCAGTGTGCTGTAGATGGGCAAACTGTGCAAAACAAAACCTTTCAAGCTGATTACTATCTTGAGAGATCAGGAAGTTGAGATTTTTTTTTTTTTTCTCCACTTGTTGGGCAGCTATCTAGGAAAAGACATCAGAATCCTCATTTAAAAAAAAGATTTTCTTGGGGCGCCTGGGTGGCTCAGTCGGTTAAGCATACGATTCTTGGTTTTGGCTCAGGTCATGATCTCACAGTTCGGGAGTTTGAGCCCCGTGTTGGGCTCTGTGCTGACAGTGCAGAGCCTATTTGGGATTCTCTCTCTCTCTCCCTGTCTCTGCCCCTCCCCTGCTCATGCTGCCTCTGTCTCTTTAAAAATAAACAAACTTTTGGGGCGCCTGGGTGGCGCAGTCGGTTGAGCGTCTGACTTCAGCCAGGTCACGATCTCACGGTCCGTGAGTTCGAGCCCCGCGTCAGGCTCTGGGCTGATGGCTCGGAGCCTGGAGCCTGTTTCCGATTCTGTGTCTCCCTCTCTCTCTGCCCCTCCCCCGTTCATGCTCTGTCTCTCTCTGTCCCAAAAATAAATAAACGTTGAAAAAAAAAATTAAAAAAAAAAATAAACAAACTTTTAAAATATTAAAAAAAAAAAAAAAGATGTTCTAGGGGTGCTTGGTTGGGTCAGTCAGTAAAGCACATGACTCTTGATCTTGGTGTTGTAAGTTCAAGCCCCATGTTGGGTGTAGAAATTACTAAAAAAAATATTTTTTTAAAAGAGAAGTATTTGGGGGGAAGAAGGAAGATGGCAGTGGAATAAGAGTACCCATGAACTGTCCCATGAATACAAGTAGATAACTAGGAGACATCCTAAATACCCCAGAAATCAACCTGAACAATGGCAGCACAAACTCTGTAACTAAAGGTAGAGAAGAAGCCGCAGAGAAGTCAGGAAGTGTGGGGACACAGTTTGGGAGAGAAACGGATCGTGGCTGCTGTGGTGAAGAGGGAGCTGTAGTTGTGGAGAAGGGGGTGAGACAGACGAGCACATGGGAGTGCACGGGGAAAATGAATCCCCACGGCAATTGGCTTGGAAAGCAAGAGGGACCAAATTTCATGAGTTCTTGCAACCAGCGGTGCTTAAAGCCTGGAGCTGTAAGTCAGCAGGCTTGGCTCGGGGACAGCCTGAAGTCTTTGGGGCTGCTCTTGGAAGGAAAGCAGGACAAACAGCCCACGGACATACAGCACGGAAACGGGAGATCTGAAGAGCACCTGGGGGGCACCTGAGTGGCTTAGTCGGTTAAGTGTCCGACTTCAGTTCAGGTCATGATCTCATGGTTTGCGGGTTCGAGCCCCACGTCGGGCTCTGTGCTGACAGCTCAGAGGTTGGAGCCTGCTTCGGATTCTGTGTCTCCCTCTCTTTGCCCCTCCCCTGCTCGTGCTCTGTCTGTCTGTGTCTCTCTCTCTCAAAAATGAATAAACATTAAAAATAAATAAATAAATGAAAGAAATAAAAAGCATACACATCAGTAAAGAAGAAGTCAAACTTTCACTATTTGCAGAAGCCATAATACCCTATATAGGAAACCTGAAAGATTCCACCAAAAAACTGCCAGAACTGATAAATGAATTCAGTGGAGTCACAGGATACAAATTCAATGTACAGAAATCCATTGCGTTTCTACACACCAGTAATGAAGCAGCAGAAAAAGAAACTAAGGAATCAATCCCATTTACACATGCACTAAAAATAATGAGATATGTAGGAATTATGCTAACCAAAGAAGTGAAAGACCTATACTCTGAAAACCATAAAACACTGATGAAAGAAACTGAAGACGACACAAAGAAATGGAAAGACATCCCATGCTCTGAGACTGAAAGAGCAAATAACTGTTAAAATGTCTGTACTACCCAAAGCAATCTACATATTTAATGCAATCCCTATCAAAAGACCTGTCAGAATGGCTAAAATCAAAAACACAGAAGACAGCAAGTGTTGGTGAGGAGTTGTGTACTGTTGGTGGGAATGCAAACTGGTTCAGCCACTGTGGAAACAGTATGGGGGCTCCTCAGAAAGTTAAAAACAGAGCTAACCTACCATCCAGCAATTGCACTACCAGCTATTCGCCCAAAGAATATTAAAAAACTAGTTCAAAGGGATACGTGCATGCATCCCTATGTTTATAGCAGTGTTATTAACAATAGCCAAATTGTGGAAGCAGCCCAAGTGTCCATCAACCGGTAAATGGATAAAGATGTGGTATATATACACAATGGAACATTATCTGGCTAGAAGAAAGAACGAAATCTTGCTATGGGCAATGACATGGATGGATCTAGAGAGTACAATACTAAGTAAAATAAGTCAAAGAAAGACAAATACCATGTGATTTCGCTCATCCGTGGAATTTAAGAAAGAAGACAAATGAACAAAGGGGGGAAAAAAAACAGAGACCAACCAAGAAACTACAGAGAAAAAACTGGTAGTTACCAGAAGGGAGATGGGGGGGGGGGGGGGGGGTGAAATGGCTGATGGGGATCAAGGAGTGCATCCGTTGTGATGAGCATGAGGTGATGTATGGAATTGCTGAATCACTATATCGTACACCTGAAACTGATGTAACATGGTACATTAACTGGAATTACAATAAAAACCTTTAAAAAAAGAAGTATCTCTTTCCAGAAATGACTATGCCCCCTATAAAAGGAAAGCCATAGGGAAGGCATGTTTGCCTGTATGGTCACAAGCACAGTGCTTAGAAGTTTCCTTGTGAAAACAGATGAACATAAGGGAAGGGAAGCAACAATAATATAAAAACAGGGAGGGGAACAAACCACCAGAGACTCTTAAATACAGAGAACAAACTGAGGGTTGCTGGCGGGGTGATGGGTGGGGGGGATGGGCTAAATGGGTGAGGAGCATTAAGGAGGACATTTGTTGGGATGAGCACTGGGTGTTCAAAGTAAGTGATGAATCACTAAATTCTATTCCTGAAATCATTATTACACTGTATGTTAACTAACTTGGATATAAATTAAAAATACATAAAAAGTAAATAAATAAATATTTTAAACATCAAAAAAGAAATTTCCTTGTGATACAAGTCAAGGGTACATAAAGAATCAAACTTAAGTGTGATTACATCTAAATAAGTAGAAACCGGATAGCTGGCCATTTGAGGACAAGACATGTTCTGCAGTATCTTCAATTCACTCTGGTTTGTGGATCACTTATTAGAGGTTTCCATGAGTCATGGAGTGACTGGGTGAAAAGGAAGCCTACGCACTGGTTTCTTAGAGAAGGTTTGGATGTTTCTTTGGGCTGTTTCGTTGAAAATGGGGTGGAAAGGGGCGCCTGGGTGGCGCAGTCGGTTGGCGACTTCGCCAAGTCCGCGATCTCATGATCGTGAGCTTGAGCTCCGTCAGGCTCTGGGGCTGATGGCTCAGAGCCGGAGCCTATTTCCGTTCTGTGTCTCCCTCTCTCGCCCTCCCCCGTTCATGCTCTGTCTCTCTCTGTCCCAAAAATAAATAAACGTTGAAAAAAAAAATTTAAAAAAAAAAAAAAAAGAAAATGGGGTGGAAAAACTTTGGACATAGGGGCGCCTGGGTGGCGCCCGGTGGTTCAGCGTCGGCGACTTCCTGAGCGAGTCGCGATCCTGCCGTCCCGTGAGTTCGGCCTTTAGCGTCAGGATTCCTGGGCTGATGAATCAGAGCCTGGAGCCTCAGTTCTGATTACTGTGTCTCCTCCTCTCTCTCTGCCCCCCCGTTCATGCTCTGTCTCTCTCTGTCCCAAAAATAAATAAACGTTGAAAAAAAAACTTTGGACATAGATAAATTGGTCTTCAGCAGTTTTTTCCAAATTGCAAATGAAAGACCTTTTAGTGCACTAATAAATTTAAAAGCCTGTAATAAGCGTTCAGAAAAATAAACTATCCTGCATCACCACAAGCAAGAAATAGTCCATTTCTCCTATCCATTAAGTCCTTCACTAAGTCAATAAATATTTACAGGTATCTGCCATATCCCAGGACTAGTCTAGGCACTGAGGACACATCAATAATCAAATCAATCAAAATTCTCCTCCTGAAGATTATATCCACTGGAGAGAGAGGGGTAAGAGGCAAAGACATATGAGACACAATATGAGGCAGGAAGAGTAAAGACAGCATTGTATTTTAAACAGAATGGTCAGAAGGCCTGTGTCATGGTAGTAAAACTCTGCAGAGACCAGAATGAAGAAGGGAAGAGCCGGCAGGAAGTTTTGGGGAAAGACTGTTCCAGGCAGAGCAAAGAAGTAAAGGACCCTGAGGGAGAAGCTTCTGTAACAGACTTAATGGTTCCTGAAAGATGTCCGTGTCCCATCCCCAGAACCCGTGAACTTTTGTTACGTTACCTGGGTTGCAGATGCAATGCAGGCTGCTGATCAGCTGATCAGAAAAAGAGGACGATCGTCCTGGATTATCCGGGAGGAATGTAATCAGAAGGGTCCTGAAAGGCAGCAGACACAAGAGGCAGAAGAGGGGCAGAGGGAGAGTACCCAAGAACGGTCAGGGAGATGCAGTGTCGCTGGTTTCGAAGACGGAGGAGGGAGAATGAGAGTCGAGAACTGGGCAGGCCGCACATGCTGGTAGCCCGAGGGAAAAATCTCTCCCCTTGAGCATCCAAAGAGGAACACGGCTCCGTAGGCACCTTGCTATTATCCCAGTGAGATGTGTCAAAGTTCACACCTCAAGAACAAACACACCTTAAAATTTTGTCGTTTGGTCTACTACACTCATAGTAATTTGGAAAGTCAGCAATAAGCAAAGTACAGTATACTTGGCAGGTCCTGGTAACAGCAGAGAGGGCGATGTGGGTGGAGAAATGGAGCGAGAGGAGCACCTGGTTGGCGCCATCGATAAGAGCATGTGACTCTTGATCTCGGTTGTGAGTTTAAGCCCCATGTTGGGTGTAGAGACAACTTAAAAATAAAAAAAAAACTTGAGGTGCCTGGGTGGCTCAGTCGGTTAAGCGTCTGACTTTGGCTCAGGTCATGATCTCACAGCTTGTGGGTTTGAGCCCCGCATCGGGCTCTGTGCTGACAGCTCACAGCCTGGAGCCTGTTTTAGATTCTGTGTCTCCCTTTCTCTCTGCCCCTCCCCTGCTGGTGCTCTGTCCCTCTCTCTCTCTCTCAAAAGTAAATAAACATTAAAAACATTAAAAAACAAATTAAAAAATTTTTTTTAAATCTTGAGAAAGAAAGAAAAATGGAGAAAACAGGAGATGTATTCAAAGGAGAGGGAGTGGGGATGTAGAGCAGACCAGAGAGGACTCTAAGAGCCACTTTAGGGGCATGTGGGTGGATTAGTCGGTTGAGCATCTGATGTCACTTCAGGTCATGATCTCACGGTTCGTGGGTTCATGCCCCACATTGGGCTCTGTGCGGACAGCTCACAGCCTGGAGCCTGTTTTAGATTCTGTGTCTCCCTTTCTCTCTGCCCCTCCCCTGCTCGTGCTCTGTCCCTCTCTCTCTCAAAAGTAAATAAACGTTAAAAAAATTAAAAAATTAAAAAAAATTTTTTAAATCTTGAGAAAGAAAGAAAAACGGAGAGAGAACAGGAAATGTATTCAAAGGAGAGAGAGTGGGGATGCAGAACAGACCAGGGAGGACTCTGAGAGCCACTTTAGGGGCACGTGGGTGGATTAGTCGGTTGAGCACCTGATGTCACTCCAGGTCATGATCTCACGGTTCGTGGGTTCGTGCCCCGCATCGGGCTCTGTACAGACAGCTCGGAGCCTGGAGCCTGCCTCGGATTCTGTGTCTCCCTCTCTCTCTGCCCCTCCCCACCTCAAGCTCTGTCTTTCTCTCTCTCTCTCTCAAAAAAAATAAACATTAAAAAAATTTTTTTTATTTTTAAAAAAAAAATTTTTTTTTTTTTCAATGTTTATTTTTGGGACAGAGAGAGACAGAGCATGAACGGGGGAGGGGCAGACAGAGAGGGAGACACAGAATCGGAAACAGGCTCCAGGCTCTGAGCCATCAGCCCAGAGCCTGATGCGGGGCTCGAACTCACGGACCGCGAGATCGTGACCTGGCTGAAGTCGGACGCTTAACCGACTGCGCCACCCAGGCGCCCCTAAAAAAATTTTTTTTAATTGGAAAAAAAAAAGAGCCACTTTAAGTGGTTTTAACTTTAAGGGGAGAAAAAAGAAGCCATAATGGATTTTGAACAGAGGAATGGCAATCTCGTGTACACTTCCAAAGGATCACTTTGGCTGCTCCCGTGGATAACACATGTAGGATGGGAAGTGTGGAAGCAGGACAACCCATAATAAGGCTGTTGTAATAATCCAGGAAAGAGGTTTGGCAGTTTAGAACAAGGCGATGGAAATGAGCATGGAAAAATGTGAAAGAGACGGTTGAGTTGCCTCCACGACTCACAGTTACTTGGATCTTACCTGAATTGCCTTTTCCTTGGGTTGCTAACTTCATCATCCAAAACTTTCCTTCCCTTACCAAGTGGACCATATCTCGTTTGAATGGTTGATGCCCTGCGAGCACACAAAGTCATACGTGTTGTAGGTAAAATTCACTGGAGAATTAGGTTCCCACTACATATTCTTCAAGCATTCAGAAGCAGCATTTTTCAAACTTTCTTTTTTCATGACCCATTTGAAGAAATATCATTTGCCAAGTCTCCTACACATATATGTTAAGAAATACTCTTCTTCAATGTTTTGGAAGAGTGGGAGAAGCTTGCTAACATCTCGTTTGTTTATTTCATTAAAAGTTGATAATAGGGCTCCCTGTACTGGTTTTATAACTCATGATAGGGTCAGAAATACAAAGAGTAGAGCTGTATACCATTCATTTAGTTCTTCAATAAAACAAAAACTTGCCTGTTGATCAAAACAAAACAAAACAAAACAATGCTGTGTGTCCCATATATATTAGGACAGTCATATCCCCAAACTCAGAGAACCATTTCAAGCGCCCCAAAGCCTCAAAAACCCACGGATACAAAGCTACTCCTGGAGACTAACTTTCAGTTACAGAGAGCTCATGTCCTCACCCACAGATACCAGGTTCCCGAAGTTCTCCAGCATCACTTCTCGGTACAGCTTCCTCTGGGTGGGGTCCAGCAGCCCCAGCTCCTCCTCCGTGAAGACCACAGCCACGTCCTTGAATGTCACTACCTCCTACAACACCAAGCACATATAACCTCAATCTTACAACCAACCTTCACTGTGAGGGATAGCGCTGAGATACTATCTTCTTATCTGTCACTTTTACTCAACGGAATGGCTAATGTTCTTGACCATTGGTTTCCTGTGTGAACCTGAGCAGGTTTCCTATATTTTACATATGTAAGTGGAAGATGCAATCAAGAACCTCCTTATACAACAGCTCTGAGGAGTAAATGCAGAGACAGAACTAAGTGCCTGGCAAATCCAGCAAGACTGGATATTTTAAACTAAAATTATACCTTAGTTTATAGCTGGAGGCAAGCAAGATGTCCCTTAGGTGGTGAATGAATAAACTATGCACATCCATACCAGAATATAATTAAAAAAATTTTTTTTAATATTTATTCATTTTTGAGAGATAGAGGCAGAGAGAGAGGGAGACACAGAATCCAAAATGGGCTCCAGGCTCCAAGCTGTCAGCACAGAGCCCGATGCAGGGCCTGAACCCATGAACCGT